ATTCTGTGTGTGTATGTGTGTGCATGCATGTGTGGTGTTCGTTTTAATGTGTTTAGGTAGGGCATGGACTCAATTCTAGATACAAGCCCTGCCACTCCATGTTGTATTACACCCAAACACCTCATGCATTTACTTTACTCGTCTGATCCCTAAATCGTTTTGAGTTTGTAATTCTTGATGTAATGCCGCGCTCCATCCCTGGATCCATATTATATATAAGGAGGCTGAGACCCAGAGGGGAAAGTACCTAAACAAGATCGCACAGTAAAACAGGTCAGAACTGGCATCCAGGTGTCCTGGTTCTGAGTCAAGGGTTTGTTCCCATTGCACCAGTCTCCCTCAGGACATACAACAGAAAAGAAGGAAACCCACATCTGTTGAGGCTCAGAAAAGTGATGTGACTTGCCCACCAACACAGCTCATGAGTAGCTGACACAAGAATTAAACACTGGTGGCCTGATCGCATTACTGCTGTGTTCCCATCTCACCAGGTTGTATGCCTGCAAAGCTCTGAGGAACTATCAGGAGCATACACAGGAGTGTTTTGAGACTCAAGATGTAGAACTAGGAGGGACAGGGGGACAAGAGCCCTCAGAAGTCGGTTGTGATGGGGTTTGAGAAAGAGTTCTAATGCTCAAACCTGTGCTGCCCAGAAAACCAGGAGGTGGAGTATATTAGTTTCCTGTTGCTGCTGTAACAAATTGTCACAAACGTAGTGGCCTGAAACAACACAAATGTATTCTTTTATACTTTAGAGGTGTCCAAAAAGAGTCTTAAGGAGCTAAAGTCAAGGTGTTGGCAGGCTTGGCTCCTCCTGGAGGCTCCAGGGGAGAATCTGTTTCTTCCATCTTCCATCTTTTAGAGGCTACTTTGGCATCCCTTGGGTTGTAGCCAAATCACTCCAACCTCTTCTTCCATGTTCACATCACCTTCTTCCCCTCTGACCTTCTTGCCTCCGTCTTATAAGGACCCTTATGATTATATTTAGAGCCCATCTGAATAATCCAGGATCATTTCCCCATCTCAAAATGCTTCACTTAATCACATCTGCACACTCCCTTTCACAAGGTTCCAGGACTTAGGACATAGACATCTTTGGGGAGCCATTGTTCAGTCTACCACACAGGGTCTCCAGACAAGCCCCTTCAGTCAGCTCACTCCCCAAGGCCTTTCCTGGTCTGCTGAGACCCCAGGAAACTTGTCAGCGTGAAGCTAATTCAGCAGGTGAACGTGCTCTCTAGAAAGTACCAAAAGTAGGTACATGAGACCCATGGTAACTTCAGGCTCCACCAGGATTTCCTGCCTGGACCCTACCAAACTGTGGGGCCTCCTCTTCTCTTTGTCAGTAACAGTAGCAACTGTAAGAGTTCCCAGCCTCCCAGGAATGCAAGATTAGTTTAACATTTGAAAATCAATTAATGTAGTACACCATATCAGTAGAATAAAGCACAGAAACCACTTAGTTCTTACTCTGTATTTCTATACAGTTGTAATAAACAATTTAAAAATGAAATTAAGTCCATTTACAATAGCATCAAAATAATAAAATACTTAGGAATACCTTTAACAAAAGAAGTATAAAGCTATACTCTGAAAACTACAAAACATTGCTTAAATAAAGATGATCTAAATAAATGGAAAGATATCTCATGTTCATGTATCAGAATACTAAATGCTGCTAACATGTGAATATTCCCTCAATTATCTACAGACTCAACATAATCCCTATCATAATCCCAGCTGGCATTTTGCAGAAATTGGCAAGCTGATCCTAAAATTCATATGGAAGTTCAAACCACCCAGAATAGGCAAAACAGTCTTTAAGGAGAACAAAGTAGGAGGACTCAAACTTACCAATTTAAAACTTAGGGAGGGGCAGGGTAAGCTGGGACGAAGTGAGAGAGTGTCATTGACATATATACACCAACAAATATAAAATAGCTAGCTAGTGAGAAGCAGCCGCATAGCACAGGGAGATCAGCTTGGTGCTTTGTGACCACCTAGACGGTAGGGATAGGGAGGAGGGGAGGGAGACGCAAGAGGGAGGGGATATACGTATAGCTGATTCACTTTGTTATACAGCAGAAACTAACACAACATTGTAAAGCAATTATACTCCAACAAAGACGTAGAAAAAAACAAAAAAACTTACTACAAAACTATAGTAACCAGTAAGCAAGACAGTGTGGTAGAGTCGTAAGGATTTGCATGTAAATCAATGGAATAGAATTGATAGTCCAAAAATAAATGCTCACATTTATGGTCAATTGATTTTTTTTTTTTTTTTTTTGCAGTACGCGGGCCTCTCACTGTTGTGGCCTCTCCCATTGCGGAGCACAGGCTCCAGACACGCAGGCTCAGCGGCCATGGCTCACGGGCCTAGCCGCTCAGCGGCATGTGTCCCCTGCATTGGCAGGCGGACTCTCAACCACTGCCCCACCAGGGAAGCCCTGGTCAATTGATTTTTGACAAGGATCAAATTTTCCAAGACAATTTAATGAGAAAAGAATAGTCTTTTTAATAAAATATGCTGAGACAACTGAATAACCATATGCAAAAGGAGGAAGTTGGATCTCTACTTCACATCATATACAAATATTGCTTCAAAATGGACCAAAGACCTCAATATAAGAGCTAAGAATATAAAACTTTTAGAAGAAAGCAAAGGGTAAGTCTTCATGACCTGGGAGTAGGCAATGACTCCAAACGCATAAGCAACAAAAGAAAAAAATAAGGATTCTTCAAAATTGAAAACATTTCTGCTTCAAAGGACACCAAGAAAGTAAAAAGGCAACCCACAGATTGGGGCTGTCAGAAACATTTGCAAATCACATATGTGATAAGGGACTTTTATCTACACTGTATAAAGGGCCCTAACAATTCAGTAATAAAGAGACAATTAAACAAATGAAAAAATGGTTAAAGGATCTGAAAATACATTTCTCCAAAGATGATATACAAATGTCCATTAAGCACATGAGAAGATGCTTAATGTCATTGGTCACTGGGGAAGTGCAAATGAGAAACACAATGAGTTCGTACTTTACACCCACTAGGATGGCTATAAACAAAAGCACAGATAATAACAAGTGTTGTCAAGGATGAGGAGAAATTGGAACTCTCATTCATTGCTGGTGGGAAAGTAAAATGGTACAGGCATTTTGGAAACGAATCTGGTAGTTCCTCAAAAAGTTAAACAGAGTTAACGTACAACCCAGCGATTCCACTCCAAAGTGTATACCTAAGAAAAATGAAAAACTATGCCCATATATTGATAAAAAGAATGTTTATAGCAACACTGCCTACAATAGCCAAAAAGTGGGGAGAAACCCAAATGGCCAAACCCAAATGATGGATAAACAAAATGTGGTATAAATGGAATACGATTTAGTCATAAATGGAATATTATTCAGCCATAAAAAATGAAGTACTGATACATGCTGAAATATGGATGAATCTTGAAAATATTATGTTAAATGAAAGGAGCCAGTCATAAAAGACCACATATTGTATGATTACATTTACATGAAATGTCCAAAACAGGCAAACCCACACAGACAGAAAGCAGAATAGTGGACGTCTAGGGTTGGGGAGATGCGGAGAAGGGGGAGTGATGGCTAAACTGTATGGGGTATTTCTTTTTGGAATGATGAAAATGTTTTTAAATTGACTGACTGTGGTGATAGTAGGACAATACTGTGAATACACAAAAAACATTGAATTGTTCACTTCAAATGGGTGAGTTGTATGGTATATAAATTATATCTTAATAAAGCTGTTAAAAATAAAAGAAGCAACAATAGAGAGAGCAAGAGAGAGAGAGAGTCCTTGACCTGCGTCTAAAACCCAGCAATTCACACAGTAACTCTCCAAGCATTATTCTATCTGGTGCTCCCAGCAACCCTGTGGTGGAGGAACTATCCCTTTTTAAAGATATTACAACTGTGTGTGACAAACCGTATCTCCAAAATGAAAGAAGGAAACCAGCCTTAGGTACCTACCTATGCCAAGCTCTTCACACATCATCTCATTTAATCCTTGAAATACCCTGTAAAGAAAGTATTGTTGCCCCATTTTACAGATAAGGAAACCCAGGCTCAGAGAAGTATAAACCATATGTCTTAAGACACACAGCTACAACATGACAAAGCAGGATTCGAACTCAGTTCTATTCGATTCCATTGCTATTGCCCTTTCCTCTATGCCACCACTGGTGTCCAGGATCTGAGTCCTGTGTCTCAGCTGCTGCATGTCTGCTCGCACTCCTGCCCCCCTCCCCAGCCCCAGGCTGCTGCTCTGTGCATGTTTCCTGCCCACTTCTCTCTCCACCTGCACTGTGGAGAGAACAAAGGGCTAGTATTGGCACCACAGACAGATGGCCTGATTCCTCGGGAGAAGAAATTTCAGGGCCAGAGAAACCTGCCTGCGCCTAAGGAAGCCCTGAGGGCCCCAGAGGAAAGGAGAAAAAAAGGCCACTCCCCACTGCAAATGGGCAGGACCAGAGACCTCTGCCCTGCCTGCAGAGGGAGCACCTGAGAGGGGTGGGGAGGGCCCAGCCCTCCCATGGGAATTCATGGCTGGAATCCCCACCTCGGAGCAGAAGCTTCCACAGTGAGGCAGCAGTGGAACAGGGACGTTCTCTAGTGGGAGCAGCCAGGAGCTTTGCCCTGCGCTGGGAGTCCAGACACTGGACTTCCAAACCGGTCCAGATGCTCATTCCCAACCCTCACCCCTTCCTGGGAGATGGTCACAGCAGGTTTGGTACAGTCCACTGGGTTCCCACAACCCCTCCTCCCCACTGGCTGGGCTCTGAGCTGGGAGAAGGGGCTTTCTCTAGGAAGGGAGATGGGCCAGGAGGAAGGTGGAGGTGCAGAAGATGAGGCTAGAGATGGAACAGTCATCTCCCCTGACAGCCCAGGCCTGGAGGGCAGGGCTTCTCTGCTTGGCCCAGCCAACAGGGCCCTGAGGCAGCCTAGTGGGAGGAGGCCAGCTACTGCTGGGTGGAGCCGAATCCTCATAAAGGGAGGGAGAGTTGTCCCGGGCTCAGCACGAGCTGCAGGGCCATGGTCAAGATGAGAGGTAAGTGGGGTCCCTCCTCTGGGTCTGAGACGGAAGTACCTGAGGAAGGAGGTGTTGGACAGTGAAACAGGGAGGGGAGCTAGACTGGGGAGTGGGGATGAGCCAGGGGGTCGAGATGGGTCCAAGGGGGAGTCTGGGCATAGGGCCAGGCCAGGGGAAGGGAGGTGGGGACTGAGATGGGACAGGAGCTCGGTCAGGGGCTATGGATACATCCAGGTGTTGAAAGTGAGTTGAGAGGATGGATACAGGTCTGGAGAGTGAGTCTGGGGGTTGGGCCCACTCAAGGGGAAGGTTATGGCACTGAGACAGAATGGTGGTAGCTCAGGGAGATGGGAAAACTTGTCAGGGGTGGAGAATGGGTTAGGGAGGTTGAAGTAGGCCTGGTGGGGGCTGTGGGGAGGCTCGACTGTCTGTTGCCTGAGGCATGGTTACCCCTCTCCTCTTTTCTGAGGAGTCACCCCTGCAGAAGGCTCTTCTGGCATTGGGAAAGGCCTGCCCTGGGAACCAGCTTGGTCCCTGCCCCTCCTCAGTGGGTGGTCCCTGAAGTTCCCTTTTCTTCTTAGAGCTTCGGTTGTCCTGCCTGTACAAAGACTGGACTAAGGGGGTTCTCACCTGCCAATAAACCTAGGGCTAATGCAAGGGGGTCAGTGTGTCCCAGCTTCTGGCTGTTCCCCTTTAGAGCAGGTGACACCAAGGAGACCACACAGCCTCTCTTTCAGAGTTTCAGACTCTTAGGTGAATTTCTCTGTACATAAGCACTGTTCATTGTAGCAGTCACTCCGGGCTTATTGCATGTTATACATTAACTATGGTTTCCAGTCCTGACTGCACGTTAGAAACATGGAGCGTTCTGGAAAAATACTGTAAGGCTGTAGAAGAACAGGATTGCCAAGTTCCCGTGGGGCACTGTTAGTCACTGAGAAACCGGGCACCGCTTCCCTGCTTCCCTTCCCCAAAGAGAACTGTGCTACACACACACACATCCATCCTCTCACAAATGCACACGGCCCCGAAGAATACTGACACCCTCAGGCTCCGCCACCCAACCTCATGCACAAATGCACACACAGAATCAGACACAAGCAACCGAGTTCTCTCTCAAACTCAAGCAAAGGCATAACTATCATCCTCTCTCCTCCAAACGTAGGCCAACACACACCCATTTCTACAATCCCTCCCGCTTTTCTGTACAGATTCATCCACACATTTACTCAGGTACCTACACTCTCCCACAAACACATCCCCTTCACATAAAATCACAGACATCGCACGGTTATGCAGGGCAATAATCACACACTCACAATCACAGCACCTTTGTCATAGACAAGCTCACACACACACACACTCACCAAGAGAAGTAGGCGAATTTACACTCCAATACGAAGCTGCACACACTCTTGAGTTTCTAGTCAAGTGCACACGTGTGAACTTGTAGTCCACGTTCACAATCACACAACTAACACCAGCACATTCACACAAACATTCATACAACATAGACACAGACACAATCACAAACACACATTTACAACCACACATTCAACAGACACTGCCTGATCTTACCACTCCCACTCATCCACACAGCCAAGCTCACTCTGGGTAGGGCGGGGTACAGAGCCCCAGAAAGGCAGCCCCCATTCCTCTCTCTGCCCCAGGAATCCTGATCTTGGGGCTCTTGTTGGCTACTCCCAGCTGCCTTGGCTACAATGAGGACTTGGTCAAGTGCTTCCAGGACCCCGAATACGAGTCTATCCTGGTCACAGCCCAGGAGGGCCTCCACACCTCCCCGCTGCCCAAGCGTGTGGTGGTAGTGGGAGCTGGCATGTCAGGGCTAACGGCAGCCAAGGCCCTGCAGGACTCGGGCCACCAGGTGAGCAGGCCTTGGAGGGGCCTCAATCATTCACCTCCAGTTTGCATCGTTGTGTGGAAAAAGAAAAGGAGTGGGATTACAGCCAACACTTTGACAACTATGCATAACCCACCAGGTCTCTCAGGCCTTAGGTATTGTTCCTCAAAAATCTGGGTTCTCCTGAGACTTAACTGTAACTTGTGTTCTTTTGGAAATAAAAGTAGAGAAAGGCTATGCTAACCAGAAGGGACCAAGAGGCATTCTGACCCCTGTAACCCTGGAGCTCTTCTGCCTCGCTTACGTTCCTCAGGACCCTCTGGGAGGAACCCCCCTCTGCCCAGTTTGGTTATCCTGCACATTCAGGGACCTACTGCCGGGAATTCCAGAGTAGAGCCTGTGGCCAGTGGGGGTGGGAGTAGTGGGTAGGAGAAGTGAGAGCATGACCCTGGGAATGACAGCAGCCTCTCTGAACACAAGGTAACCATCCTGGAAGCCAGCGACCATGTCGGGGGTCGAGTGTTCACATTCAGGAATGAGGAAGAGGGCTGGTACTGTGAACTGGGGCCCATGCGAATCCCAAAGTCCCACAGGTAAGTCTCAGGAAAGGGATGGAGCAAAAGGCAAGGAGGAAGAATTAGGAGGAGGGCAGCCCTGCTGCCATCGTGTCAGAGCCCTTTCAGATTCACTGTCTCATGGGATTCAGTCTTGCAAGTCAGGAATAACACTGGTCCCCCACTTGACAGAGCCCAGGGTCATACAGAAAGTGGTAGATCCCAGACTAATAATGACAATAGTTACCATTAACACATCAAATTGTTCCCTTTAAATATGGGCAGTTACTTACATGTCAATTATGCTACTTTAAGCTATAAAATAATTAATAATAAATAATAATAACAGCTGCCGTTCAGTGAACACTCACTGTGTGCCCCACCCTGTGCTAAGTGCTATGTGTGTATTATTTCATTTGATCCTTGCAACCCTATAATTTAATACTCTTATTTTTCCTATTTACAAATCAAGAAACTGGGTTCAGAGACACTAAGTGACTCACCCAAGGTTCTCCTAGGAGAAAGTGGCAAAGCTCCTCAAAATCAAGGAGGCACTTGGCACCAGAATATATGCCCAATCCCTAAAGCAGAGCTCACTCCTGGAAGAGAACCCAGCCCCTGGTTCTGGGGCTTCCAAGACAAAAAGATACCTCACCTGGTGTCCTACATACCTCCAAAAATATGCCTTCTTTTATGCCTTAAGCGGAAACTGAACCCGAGGTTTCTCTCCAAACACCATCAAAAACAAAACCAAAATTTAACAGTACCAGCCCAAAGTAGGGGTCTTTAGATGTGGCCTCAAACTTACTTAGAACACCATCTGAAACAAAATGTCTCTGTCTCTGTATCAGTTCTATATGTTCAGATTTCCTTAAGGGCCTTCATTCAGGGATGGGTGAACTCCCTATTCCCTGTCTCCCTCAGGGCAAAAACAGGAGGAAAAGAACTAATGCTAGAGTAAGAGGAGGCAAGGTTAGAGATGAGGAAGCAGTTAGTCTGAGCTCCTTGGGCACGTGAAGAAACTGGTTTTCCTGGAAATGGTTTTTATTGTGAGGTCAGCAGGAACGAGGTGCCATTGGGATGGGTGCCATGTTATGCCTGTATCTGTTCCAGGTTGGTCCACACCTATGTCAGGAAGCTGGGCCTGAAGCTAAACAAGTTCTTCCAGTACGATGGCAACACCTGGTACCTCATCAACAGAAAACGCTATCGTACTAAGGAGGTGAAGGCCAACCCAGAGCTCCTAGGCTATTCCATGAACCCGAGAGAAAAGGGCAAGAATGCTATGAATCTCTTCTACCAGTCCATTGCCAAGGTGATGCCTGTCTCCCCCCTCCTCCGCCCCAGGGTTAGGAAAAAAACAGAGTCTGGCGAAAGGTCACCTAGCAAGTTAGCGGGTGGACCCAGGTCACCTGACTCCTACCTGGCACTCTTATGATTGGTCTGCCCTGCTTCTAACACCCCCTAAGAGTTTTGCCACCCCAAGCCTAGTGTCCAGCCCCATCTCTTCTGTCCCTGTATGGTCCAATGGCCCATTGCTTGATTAGGCAGTGGAAGGAAAAGGAATCACCGGGTAATCCAATCCTTGGTAATGAATCAGTCCTCCTAGATTGCAGTGAATGTCTTTACCTTAAATTTTAGTCTCCAAAGGTCTTTAAATGAAGGAGAGATTTGGAAGTTAAGAGACAATTTAGGAGGTCCTGGAAGCTCCCTTCCCCTGGTCCTTCCATCCACTCCCTCTTTGTCCCCACCCTCTTCAAAGGAACATCCAGAGAACCCAGGAGTCCTGCCTCTGGCTCTATGACTTTAATCCAAAGCTGGTCCCCCTTCCTCTCCTCTGCAGCTCAGAATAAGTCTGAAAAAATTCAACTGCAGCCACCTGATGTCCTTTTATGATTCTTACTCCACCAAGGTGAGTGAGGCAACGAAGTCCCAGGATAGGGACGGAAGGGGGTCTGTGCTCAGCCTAGACCCCTGGGGTTGTCTCCTGCATGCCAGGACCCCCTCCTCCCAATGCCCACAGCTTCACCTCCCTAGAGCCCAGTCCCCCCTCCCCCACCCAACCTTGCCTACCCCAGACCCCTGCTGAGGCCCCTTCTTGCATACTGGGCCCTCTCTCTGGTGCTTCCACCTCCCCACAGGCTTACCTGCTGAAGAAAGGGCTGCTGAGCCGAGGCGCAGTAAGGATGATCGGGGATGTGATGAATGAGGACGCTGGATACTATAAGTCCCTCCTGGAGGCCCTTCGGACGGACATGGTCTTCACAAGTAATGAGTAAGGCTGATCTGGACCAGGACTCGAGTCGGCCTCTTCCTCCAATACTCAGAGCAGAGAAAGGGAACCTTGATTGTTGAGTAGTTACTGTGTGCCCGTTGCTGTGCTAAGCACTTTCCAAGGGTTATCACATTTAATGCTATGATCACCTGGAAGGTAGGCACTATAATTCAGAGCCATGTTACCAGGGAGGGTGCTGGGGCTCAGAGAAGTTATGTAACTTACTTAAGTTCACACCACTTGGGCAAGGGCTGGAGCCAGAATCCTGAGGCAGGTCTGTGGGACTCCTCCTGGGATGCAAAATTGCGTGGTGGACTTTGGAGCTAGACTGAGCACGTCATCGTGGCAAAGTCCCTTTTTTTCTGGTGTTCCTCTTCCAAGCTATAAACGTTAACAATAATCCCTCCCTCACAAAGACTAGTTAAGGTGAGGTATATGAAGTAACCAGCGCAGGCTGCAGGAGGCTAGTTTCCTCCTTTTTCACACTGGGATCGCTGCTGGCAACTCAGCAAACCGACCTTGCATCTCCTACACTCACCCTCTCCCCTCTCTTCACCCCTACAGCTTTTCCGAGATCACTGGAGGCTTTGACCAGCTCCCCAAAGCTCTCAACGCCAGCTTGAAGCCTGGCACCATCCTTCTGGGCTCCAAGGTAGAGACGGTAGTGAGGGATGGGCCTGAGGTCCGGATTTCCTACCGGGTGGGTGAATCCAACTCGACGCTGCCCACCCTCACCGCGGACTTTGTCATCATCTCCGCCTCGGCCAAGGCCACGAGACTCATCACCTTTGAGCCCCCGCTCTCCCGGGACAAGATGGATGCGCTCCGCTCCGTGCATTATACCAGTGCCAGCAAGGTAGTTCTGGCCTGCAACGAGTCCTTCTGGGAGCGGGATGGCATCCGGGGTGGAGTTTCCATCACCGACCGGCCCTCGCGTTACATCTACTACCCCAGCCATAGCCTCCCCAGCGGCAAGGGGGTCCTGCTGGCCTCCTACACCGTGGACGACGACTCCCTCTTCTTCATACCCATGAAGAACGACCAGGTGGTGGATATCGTCCTGGAGGACCTGGCGGCTGTGCACCAGATCCCCAAGGAGGAGCTGCGGCGCATGTGCCCCTCTTCTGTGATCAAGCACTGGTCTCTGGACCCCCTCATCATGGGCGCCTTCACTGAGTTCACACCCTACCAATTTGTGGACTATTCGCAGCAGCTTTTCCAGCCGGAGGGCCGCATCCACTTTGCTGGCGAGCACACCTGCCTGCCCCACGCCTGGATAGACACTGCCATCAAGTCTGGCCTCCGAGCAGCCAGGAACATCCAGGCTGCCGTGGACAAAGAGGCCACGGGGAGACAGAAGACCTTCACCAACACTCAGAATCATTTCTAACCCGAAGAGAAATCCCGGAGGGGATCTGGAACGAATCAGGCTGCAAGGTGGGAGTTGGAGGCAGAGACCCTGGAGAGACGTGCCATTAGTCCCCCTGCCCACAAAGAGCCCGAAAATACCAGAGAACCCAGCTGGCAAGTTCACCCCCTTTCTGGCTTCTCACTCCTGCCAGCCCTTGAGAAGGATCAGCAGAGTCAGGGTATTTGGAGGGATAAGGAAAAAAACAAGGATGGACTGTGCTAGAATCAGCCTTTAGCTTGCATAATAGTAACAAGCAGAAAAGAAAGTTTTCAACAACACCCAAATTTCTGTCATCTACAACGAGAAGCCCCTAAAGGAACAGACAAACCCAAATCAGAGCAATGTTAACCCACAGATTGGCCACATGAACCCACAGCACAGCAAACCCCATCATTGCGTGCTTGAGCCAGGGGCCTCACATCTTGGCCCAGCTGAAGTCGAGGCGGATGGGAGAGAGGAGTTCTTTTCTGCCCTTTTTTGAGCCTGCAAGAGCAGGACTTGACTTCCTAGATATCTCCTGGCCCATGGACTTTTCCTCTCTACCCTGATCTCTTCATCACCAACCAGAACTCACCGCCCTGCCCCTGCCTGTCCAGTCCACACATCCCCCTGGGAGGACACCAAGCTCATTCTACATGCTCCCTACCCACTCTGTTCCGCACTAACACCTGCCCTGTCCTTGCACGCCCAACTGAAATTATTGCCTCTCCCCAAATCCTTCCTTAATGGCCACACTCAGACCCCAGGGGTCTCTTTCCTTTGAACCACAACCCTTCTTACCTAGAGTCCCAAACATTTGAACTGTGGGTCTTCTTGTGCTGTTATATGTTATTTATCCAAGTAGACAAAAGGAAGAAGTAAATAAAGCAGTAAACCCTCTCGCTGTAGAACATTCCACCAGGAAGACTCTGGAGACCAGCATGATGAAACATGTAGTGTTATATCCTGAGACTGGCATATTTATAGGAGGAAGGGATAAAAAGAGAAAACATTTTCTTACTGCATTTGGTTTATTGTTAAAAGCCCAGCCTACTTAATTTTGGTTTTCTTTGCACCCCTATGTTAGTCAGGACTTTTTCCATTTCAGGTGCTGGAAATCAAACTCAAACTACCATTAAGGGAAAAGGAAATGCTTTGGCTCACATATCTGAAAAGTCCAGGGTGAAGCGCACTTCACTCAGACTGATTGGGTTCAGGAATTGATAAGGCATCATTAGAGTTCTCTCTCTTTCTACCTCTTGACACTGTTTTCCTAAATTAGCTTCTGTATTGAGTTGAATTATGTCCCCAAAAGTTCATATCCATCCAAAACCTGTGAAGGTGACCTTATTTGGAAATAGAGTCTTTGCAGATGTAATCAAGTTAAGATGAGATCATATTGGATTAGGGTGCGCCAGGAGGAGGCATGGAACAGACTCTCCCTCAGAGCCCCCAGAAGGAGTCAAATCTGCTGACACTTTGATTTTTGAACTTCTAGCCTCTGGTAACTGTGAGAAAATAAATTTCTGCTCTTTTAAGCCATCGAATTTTATAGTAATTTGTTACAGCAGTCCTAGGAAACTGTACACATGGTGAAACCCCTAGAACCCGGCTTCATCAAGGGAGAAGTCACTTTCCAAATTGTCTCCTAGACTGTTATATTTGGTAACCCCATTAGTGTCATGGCAAAGGCCATGCCTTCTTGAGGCTCTCAGAAGAGAGGAGGAATCCTGGCCAAGTGGAGTCCAGGCAGAAAAAGGAGCAGAGGCGGGACTGGGGGAGAGCAAGGTCCCGTAGGAAGAGCTCATCATGAACCCCCTGGGCTAAGAGGAGGACCCTGAAGAAACAAATCAGGGAGGAACACAGGGAAGAACAGGGAAGCAAAGAGCTCTTTGCTGACCTCTGACCGTTGGATATATAAATGAGGCCCCAGGGCCATGGAGTCAGCTGTGCAGAAAGGATGAAGTAGGGTGAGGGGGAATGGAGGGTGGAAGTCAGACTCAACCTGTGGTTTGGAGGTAAATGACTCAAGCATTTGGATGGGAGTATTAGGCAGAAGATGAAACGGTTCAGAGATACCTTTTTGTTGGAGAGCTGCCACACAAGGTTCTTAATTACAAAACCCAGAAACCAAATCTGAGTGATTTAAGTCAAAGAGGAGAGGAGGAATACCAAGAAGCTCCCAAAATTGACAGGAAGGGAAGTGGGCAGATGTCAAAGGAGACCTGTGACCTGAGCCACAGCCAAGCTCCAGCCATAGGAGCAGCCTGACAGATGGCCATTGCGTGCTGGTGTGGCCATTGGGACCACCACCACTGGGCACACTCCTACTCTTCCAGAACTAGCTCTCAACTGCCCACTGCTTTTTCATTTCCCCTATATTCAAAATCCCAGATGGGAGCATCCAACTGGCTGAGCCTAGGTCGGTGCCCACTCCTTGGCTGCAGCATCAGGAAAAGCAAGTCATGAACAATACTCTAGATTTTGAAGTGGGAGGTGAACTGTTGCCTTCCATCAGACTTTACTGTGGTGGATTCCCCAGGCACAGGAAGAAGGTATTGATGCTGGCAACCATAAGGCAAAGTCAATGTAAGTCCCAAAGAGAAGGACAGGACACAGACCACCTCTGCCACATGAGCCACTGAACCTCTCTGAGTCTCAGTTCCTCAGCTGAACAATCAGGATAACACCCCACTCCTCCTTCATGGCTGAAGGGATTAGATATCCTGTACAAAGGGCACCTAAAGATTATACGCGCATAAAGCATGGAGGAAGTCTTTGCCCCCCACTGCTCAGAGAGAGGAATTATTTGCAGGTTAAAGATGAGGACACCAAAGCTCAGTGGGATCAAGTGACTTGCTGAAGCTTTGACAGCCAGGTGTTGGGAGAGAATTCACAGCCAGGGCTGCCTGATTCAGAAGTCTAGCTCTTTCCACAGTATGATGCTGCTAGTCTAGTTGGAGAGAGAAATGACTGGCCTGAAAGAGATGGGACAAAATTCAGACCAAGAAAACACTGAAGCAGGTGAGGTGGCAGGAGCTCTGTAAGGGCTGAGATATGCATGGGTGGTGCTGACCACCTGTCTGGGTAACACATTATCCCTATAATGCTACGCTCCCTCATTTCCTTTCTACATGCTTTCTTGAGGGGGGAAAGAAAAGAGTAGAGTTATGGCTCATAAAACCAGCAGCCTCTCTACAGATAGCTACTACAAATTTCAGTGAGCAGCCTCTTTTATCTTTCTGCATCAAAATCTGGGAGCACTCATAGAAGGGTGAGTGCACAGAACAGCCATATGTAACATATGCCTTAACAAAAGCGACAGTTGAGAATGACTCCAGTAACTCTCAAGAGGTAAAAGCATGCCCCATTCCACCCCAAAATGTACCACACACACAAGCCACTTAGAGGTAGACCTCTGGGAATCCCAAGCTGAAGCTTACTCTAAGAGCATGGAGAATCTTGAGCAAAGTCTCCCTTGGAATCCCTGGGCATGACATCTTCTCTTCCTGCCCCCAGGGATCTTCTTAGAACCCAGTGAGTACATCAAGGGCCAGGTGCCAGAGCTCCAGATTAAGAAGCAAGGCTAGAACTTGGAGTTGGGCCCCATTGGATGCTAAGAACCCACTAACAGGCCCCAGGAAAAAGGGTGAGGAAGGAGGGGTGAAGAAGGAAGAGGAAGGGGACCCTGCCAGGAACAGAAACTCAGTCCCTCTTTTCCAAGCATTTTATATTCATCATTGATTGTTAGTCTTCCTGCTTGACAGACAAGGAATTGAGGCTCTGAGAGTGAGATCAACCCAGCATGCAAGTGTAAGCACCCAGACTAGATGGTAATAATAATAGCCGTCATTATTGAGTCTTACTTCAAGTATTGTGCTAGAACCATACATTCATTTTCTAACTGAATCCCCACCCCACCCCCCAAAAAGCCAACCTCTATGAAATAGACACAATCATCACCTCCATTTTACAAATGACGGAATTGAGAACTAGAAAGCTTCTTTTGCTCTAAGTTACATAAACAGGATTCTCTATCTGATGCCCTGCATATATTCACAAATTTAAATTTTTAGTCTAACATGTAAATTACGTCAAAATATCTCCCAGATTCCCTGTAGTAAGAAGTAAGTTAGTCCAAGTCAGAGCCAGACATAGTATTATTTTTTAAACCACTTAAACCAAAAGAATCAGAATGCTGCTTCTTCCTTGAGTTTCTGGTTATCTGAAGCTTCCATTCAACACCAGGGACATGACCCCTGCCTGTCTCTCCAAGGCTAGAAAAGAAGGAAATAAACTTTCTGTTGATACTCCAAGGAAATACAACTTAAACTTCAGGAAGCACTTTCAACCATGTTCCTGGGAAGACTGGGAAATTGTTTTCTTTCAGAATGGTCTGGTCTTGGAGCCCCATGAGCATGGGGCTAGAGGAGTGAGAGTCAGCCACTGTGCTCTACCCTGTTGTGCACCTGGCAGGTAGCTGGAACTGAAGCTTCCCAGTCTCATCCAGTGCAATGGAAATGCTGATTCCTCAATGTATGGCAGCACTGGAGTAAGACTTTGAGACTAAAGCTGAGTTCCTGAGCTACTCAAAAGAAGAGGACAATTCAACAGGAGAGTTCTGACCTAATAGCCCATCACCACCAGTGTGCCACACTCCACCCAAAGAGGAAGGCAGGGAGCATTTATGGACTGAATGTGTGCTTAAAGATCATGAAGCCAGGCCCCATTTTTAAAACACAGAAACTGAAAAACCCAGAGGAATTAAAAACATAACCAAGGAAAAGAGACTATCAAAAACTTGCCAGTCTGATTTGAAAAATAATTGAATAGAATTTTAGAAGTGAAAAACATAAATAAAATTAGAAGCACAGGGATAGATTTAATAGAAGTTTAGACTTAATTGAAAAGATAATTAGCAAACTGGAAGAAAGAGCTGAAGAAATTAGTCTCTATTTAGAGACAAATTACTTAGAAACAAAGAGATGAAAAATATGAAAAAGAACTTAACAGCCATGTAGGATAAAGGGAGAACATTCAGTATAAATTTAATCTGATATAGCAGGAGAGAATAGATAGAATGAGAGAATGGCAATATTGAAGAAATAGTAACTGAGAATTTTCCAGAACTGATGAAATACATAAAACAAAATGAAGGAAGTCCAACAAATTCCCAAACTAGATAGGTAAAAAGGAATGCATACCTGGACACATCATGGTCAAACTGGCTGAACACAAAAGACAAACATAAGATGCCAAAAACAGCCAAAAAAGCGAGATTGCCTATGAAGGGCTGTTGATTAAATTGATAGCTGGCTTCTCAATAGCAACACAGACCAGAATACGTTGGAATACCACCTCAAAGTGCTTAGAGAAAATAACCAACAGCCTAGAGTTCTAAAACCAGCAAAATTATCTTTCAATAATAAAGATGAAATAAGACATTTCTAGGTAACAAAAACTGATGGGTTTTACCATGAACAGAACCTCATTAAAGGATCTTCCACAGGGTGTACTTCAGGAAGAATGATTCCAGAGGAAAATTCTAAATGGGAAAAAGAATAGTGAGCAAATAATTTTGTAAGCATGTGTAAAACAATAATAACTGTGGCCACTTTTTAGTGTTAAAAGTTTTTAAGATAGAACCAAAATTCTGGACAGGAATAACCTGTAGGTCAGGAGGAAGGTGATTGGAGATAAAATATACTGTATCCGAGTAAAAGAAATAACACAGTACAGCCCATACCAAGATGAAGTCTTAGTAAAGTTACTGACCTTCAAAGATTTAAAAATCTGCAACAAATTACCTACAGATGCTATTATCCCCTTTGTTAGTAACAAGACCCTCTGCTGTTTAAATGGCAACATGCCCAGCTAAAAATCCACATTTCCCAGCCTCTTTTGGAGATAAGTGTGGCCAATGAAATATAAACAAAGCTTTTGAATAAAACTTCTAGAAAAGCTCCTTGAAGGAAGCTGGCTCAGCTGAAGTGGCTCCCTTTCTGTTCCTTACTCTTTCCTTTCTTCTTACCTACACCTCAGATGAGATGGCTAGAGCTCCAGCAACCACTTTGTGACCATAAGCTGGCGTCCAACTCAAAATATCAGAAAAAGAATGTGAGAATAAATATAAGAAAAACAGAAGTAAGGATTTAATAAAGATATTGCTTAGAAAGTAAAACATTAGAATTAATAAATGCAAGAGCTTTTTAAAATAACAAATATAAATAGATAAGTTGTTAGCTAACCTAGTCAAGGAAAAAAATAGAAGAAAACACAAATGTCTAATATAAAAAATGAGAATGAGGAAATAACTAGTACAGAGTAACAACAACAAAAATTGTACTTAGACTGCTTTTCCCAGCTATATGCAAGTAAATTTCATACCTGGATATAATAGATTATTTTCTCAGAAAATGAAAGTTGACAAAACTGATCTTAGAAGAGATAAAAAAGTTTAAACAGACCAATCACAATAAGGAAAATAAAGTTGTCAAAGGCCCAACTCTCCCTCAAAAAGCAACAAACACTGATGATCTCACAGGGT